GTGAAAGTGTTGTGGTCAGATGAGACCAAAATGGAGGTCTTTGGCATCAACTCAACTCGCCGTGTTTGGAGGAGGAATGCTGCCTATGACCCCAAGAACATTATCCCCACCGTCAAACATGGAGGTGGAAACATGCTTTGGGTTTTTTTTTTCTGCTAAGGGGACAGGACAACTTCACCGCATCAAAGGGACGATGGACAGGGCCATGTACCATCAAATCTTGGGTGAGAACCTCCTTCCTTCAGCCAGGGCATTGAAAATGGGTCGTGGATGGGTATTCCAGCATGACAATGACCCAAAACACACGGCCAAGGCAACAAAGGAGTGGCTTAAGAAGCACATTAAGGTCCTGGAGTGGCCTAGCCAGTCTCCAGACCTTAATCCCATAGAACATCTGTGGAGGGAGCTGAAGGTTCGAGTTGCCAAACGTCAGCCTCGAAACCTTAATGACTTGGAGAAGATCTGCAAAGAGGAGTGGGACAAAATCCCTCCTGAGATGTGTGCAAACCTGGTGGCCAACTACAAGAAACGTGTGACCTCTGTGATTTGCCAACAAGGGATTTGCCACCAAGTACTAAGTCATGTTTTGCAGAGGGGTCAAATACTTATTTCTCTCATTAAAATGCAAATCAATTTATAACATTTTTGACATGCGTTTTTCTGGATTTTGTTGTTGCTATTCTGTCTCTCACTGTTCAAATAAACATACCATTAAAATTAACGACTGATCAATTCTTTGTCAGTGGGCAAACGTACAAAATCAGCAGGGGATCAAATACTTGTTTCCCTCACTGTACATTGAACCAGAGGGACCTGGCATGAAATCTGCAACAACAGATGGCAACCAGAAGATGCCTCAGTTTTTTGAGATCTCACGGAGACCCCTCATTTAAAGGGGATGTTCAGCTGTTGGCTGCATCTGCTGGTGAATGTTAATATCCCATGATACCCTTGGCAAGAGTAGGTCGTTGTGTGTGTTGGTTGTGTTATGACCAAATTAACAAGTAATTTTAGGATTCCTCATATGCATAGTTTTAACATTAAAAAAATATACAATCCCCAATCCATATGCATCGGTTTTGCATTTAAAAATACAATCCCCAAACCAATTAAGAGGTACCATTTTCGTCTTCTGCTCATGTTAAATACATGCATTGATTTCATTGTACATTGTTTGGTGGGCTTTTCGAATGCCATTGGGGTAATGTGCAGCGAATTTGTCCTAAAATGCAGTTCTTTTGTTAAAATTAGAAAATGTAGGGGGGAAATGCTTAATTCACAGGATCCCATTAAGTGTCATTAAAGAGTCGCAATGTTAATGATGGTGTGCTGCAATTTTACCCCATCCTGCTAATTGCAAGGAGCAAAATGATATTGCCTGCATGGTTAAAACATTCTACTCACGCCACCTACAGCAGTGAATACCCTTGCCTTGGAGCAGAACGGGAAGATTTGAATGTTTCAATCTGCTTCATATCAAAGCAAGCCTTGAATGTCATGTTGCGTTTACTTCCTTTATGTTGAAGCTTCTAAGCCAATATTTATTTTATACGAAGTTCAGTGATTGATTTTGGCAAGTGAATATTGCTGTAGTTTTGTCTCTTTAAAAACATATGTTTTGGTCATATTTTGGTAAAATCCATGACTGAATACTGATAATTATTTGTTTTCTATTAAATAGTTACATTAGTATCAAAAGCTCTGTTCATCTATATGCAAGATGTTAAATACTATTCCATATGCAACACATAAAAAATGTGAAAGTATGAAAATGCATGTTTGTATGCACCGTCGGCAAATGTACTGGATAACTGGCTGAAAAAACATCTAAGTTATGCCATGGATCTCTGGGGAAACGAGTTGTTTTTGGTTCATAACGCCATTAATATGCTGAAGTGACCCTCCAGATCGCACATACTGCATCATAATCGGTGTGGCTTCTGCTGCAGTTTGCAGAGCCCATTGGAAAATAATCTGTTTTATGATCCAGTGGAAGTAGTGTAATTTGAAAAACTTATGGAACTGCAGGCATGACATTTTTTTGCACACGTTTACGGTGATAAACGAATATATTTATTGTTGTTGAACTTGATGTCTTAATGGCTAACATTGTGGTATACAGTTTTTGCTGATATTTAATTTAACAAATTACAGTAAATGATACAACCAATCTGAAGACATTTGTAATATTAATTGATTCCAAACACTACAACTTAAACTTACCTATGATAATTAACACAGCACACTTTGACAAAAGCTATTGTTCGTAATTTTATAAACATTGCCCTTTTTAAAAGCAGAATTTTGTCATATAACAGAAATATTTGTGAAATTTTGATTTAAAGCTTTCGTGACTGCAGTGATTCATATTCTTGGTTCTTTCGGTAAAGTCACGTAGAAGGGAAACAATGAAACAAGCTTGTGTTGCAGTCGAAACGTCGTGAGAATTTTGTTTTATATATATTTTATTATTTTGTTTCCCTTCAATGTGACTTTACCGAAAGAACCAAGAATATTTGTGATTTATGCCTAACAGTTTCATGAACTATATTTTCTGTGCAAAATGTTACGTCAAATCGTTACATTCATTTTTATGAGACAGTTGTACGGTTGAGCTCAAAGGCGGAGTTATACTTTTATATTGGGGGCGGGGGCAGGGGTTCGCTTTGTCCCTCACATTAGGAATCGCGGGTGCATATAATTACTTTTTAATTGTAATAGTAAACTACTAAAAACAAGTTCATAAAGGTGCTCAGTTTGGGGGGTGGGCGCTGCACCCCGCGTGCCCGCCCCCTCTTAACTCCACCCATGTTTGAGCTCATTTTCCGCAATGATGTGGGGGGGGGGCGCTATTGGCAGAACTTATTATCTTCAACTTTGGCCTGGTGGCTCAGCGTGAGTGAGCAGCTCACAATAAGGTTTAAGCTTATGGACAACCAACGTCGACATGGGAATGTGGAATTTCCACCACTGTCTCGGGAATATTGTTAGTTTTAATGTTAAGTTAGGATCACTTAGGCTGTGCTCTTCAGCCCTAGTTTAATTTGGTTAAAATAGGGCTATTGGCACGAGACGAATATGCCTCATTGATTATTTGAACAAGATATCACTTTCACATTGACTGTCCATTAAAATAATTCCATTATCTTGGCCAGAAAGTCAGGATTAGTGCACACAATATAGTAACTGCCATGTAAACGCTTCAGAAAAAAACTGCGAAGAAATTAATGGTGCGCTTCTCGTAGGCAACTCCTGGGTAGCCCTTTTTTGGGGATTTGTTTAATTGGATGAATTTGTCATTATCTGAAAATGTGCCTTGAATGCAGAAGTGGTGCAATGTGTCCTTTACCTTGTGGCTGCAGTGGCATTAGCAGTGACAAGACAGTGGCAGCATCAAATTGTGGTCATCTTTGGTATCTTATCATCCATGGTCTATTACTGCTGAAGCCCTTTCTTTGCCGTCGTTATCACTCATGGTCCCGAAATTGATCTTGCCATTCTTTCTCCCATGGTGGTTGTCCTCTCCTCATGCAATCTCTTTGCACAATTCTCGTCCGTGCTCAAGCGCACGATGGGAGACTGCGCTAATGCAAAATGCGTGACTGCGGGAGTGCACAGCAGGAGACTACACTAACACTAGAAGACTGTGCTAATGCATGGCGGGAAACCACACGCTTACACAGGAGACAACATGAACGTCAAAAGCAGGTTACTGTGTGAGTGCATGGCAGGACGCAGAACGAGCGTTATCGCCTCGATGATCGTGGGTTTTCACCGGGTACGCCTGTTTCCTCCCACATGCAAAACAAGTTCATTATAAGAAACATCACGGCGCAAATCTGTGATGACATCAACGACATCCCACAGCGTTGAGCCGGGTTCGTGCGTCGCAGGTCAAGCACCACGAACAATTGGATGAAGTTGCTGATGTGCTCCACGTATTCGTTTATGCTGCCTGTGTGATTGCACTCGTGCACAGACCGATACCCTGACCGATGGGCACGTGGGTGTAGCACAGGTGCAGCCATGCATGCTGCATAAATACCCTGCCTTGGATTATTCATAAGCATGTTAATGGACATTTGAATGGGCACTGCTCTACCCATGAATGAAGTGGATTTGTTAAATAAGAAACGTTCACCACTTCTGGATAAGAGCACCTTGAATAATGAATTGCTAGTCGATGAAAGGATTAATTATGTGATCTACTTCCCTTATCCACAAAACATTTATAATGATTTTAGCGAGCCCATGATTCAAGATTGTTCCAGATAAACACGAATAGGATGAATTTGCTGAGCCACAATAAATATGGACAATTGGCAGCCGTTTCAGAATTCAGGATGGATAAATACGCAGGGCATGGATAATAGGAGTCATGGGTAATACAGCAGATACATAGAGTTCTCTTTGTAGCTGCAGTGATGTAGAATGCATTAAGTATGTATATTGTACATAGACCAGTTATATTTTTACGTAAGCAATAGTTCATATTTTAAGAATGCAATTTATACAGTCACAATGTATTTTCACATCTGACTAAAAAGTGATGCCAATTCATATAAAAGTTATTTTTGTAGAATAAAACTGTCAAACTTTAAATCTATTTTCACACATATCTTAACCATACATTTTCAGTTGAATAAAGATCCCTACATTTTAGTACAAAGTTACCAAATAGCAATAAAACAAAACTGTGAATCTATTGTACCTCATTTGTCACTCAGTAATATGCAACTGAAACAATTTATGTCAAAGACAGACTGGCAATGGGGTTGCTTTCGAACTTCTAAAGCTGTTATCCCTAGCCACTTCATCACTGCAGTTTTGCTGTGGTCGTTTTATAGAAAATTGAGCAAGAGATTTTTCAGCCTCACTCAAATGTACTCATTACTTTCTTGCCCTCATGCTATTGATTTTAGCTGCTGACATTTTGTGCACGGTGCGTATGGTTATCCATTGAATGTCATGCCATTGCAACATTTACAATCCCAAAAGTGTATGGTGGAGCAGAATCCTTGTGATAGTTTAATATCTATAAGTTTAGGCGTGCAGACAGTACATATTATCAGAGGGAAATGCATTATCCAGTTTTTCCTTTATGTTCTGAAATATATGGGCAATTAAATAACTTACAGCGCATACATATTTACCCTTTGTTAATACAAACCCCAACTTGAAAGTGCATACATTTCTGATCATTCAAGCATTGAAAATGCAGTGTACATTTAAAAAATATACAGCATTCTGTACTTCAATTGAATGCAATTCACATGTGCATCTTAACATTAAAGTCTACAGATAAAATTTCAAAAAGCGTAGTGAAATGTATCATTAAACCATTCTTCAATGTATCCCATACAACATGAACTCTGCACCACAATCAATCCATGTTACACCCTGCATTTATAATTACATTTTTACAATAATTTTTAATATATTTACGTGAGTTATTACGTTTTAGTCATATTAAAGCTGTTTGAAGATTTTCATTTGATAAATTAAGCAGTTTTTCACAGAATTAAAATCCATAAAAAAGTATACGGTACAGTTAATTTAAAAATGGGTGTTTTAATAGTTAAATGGCTTCTTATTTTAGTATACAATCTTATGCTGATCCTGACTTCAAATGTCCCATTTGAACACATTTAATAAATAAAATAAATCAATTACCTTATTGAAAATTGGATGGAGGCACTGAGATATATATATTATACTTATGAAACTGACCTGAGCAGGAGAAATACTCAAGTTCTCAAACGGTAATAAAATATTAACGACGCATTAGGATAAAGAACATGCTCCCATAAAAAATGCAATTAAAAACTGCATTTATTGCTTAGTCACTTAATGCATATCTGCATTATGTAGGTATGATTTAAGGCTCTAATTTAAAATGTTTTCCTCGTCGTCTACACAAATTACTAATGTTAATTCACGTTGCGGTTATGTAGAACCCCAACATTTGTGGTCGAATTGATATTTCACATACTGCAATCGCAGGAAAGTTTTCATTATGTTGGTTGGTGTAAGTTGATCGTTCTTGAATTCAGTTTTTTTGTCAACAAATATACATCTAAACCATCGGCATAATTATTAAACGGTTTCATGAAGTTTTTAATGACTACAATTTCAGCGGCCTTATTCTAGCTCCTGCGGAGGGCTTCTCAGTGCTTCGTGCCTTGCCCCCACAGATGTCCTCTTCTCTCCCCCCATGTGTGCAGATACTATTGTATGTAGCGTGTTGTAGGCATATATACCTACACACCCTATGCCTACACAATAATTTTAGGGGGTCGACAATTTTTGGAAACCTTGTTGGATCAACTTTTTACCCCCATATCTGGGGGGGGGGACGGTCCGCTTTCTATAACTTCTTGATTCAGTCTTCTGAACGGCTCTTATAATTTAGTTGACGGATATGCTGTCATGCTGTTGGTTTGCCTTGCAAAAATGGCTACTGTTATAAATGTTTCCCTGCTGCCTGGCAGGTCATACGCGACGACCCAGTGGGCTGTTGAAAGTCAGCCTGGGAGGGAGTTGCCAGGGCCTAAAGAAGTTGAAGATGATTGCCCCTTTTATTCACGTTTGTCTTAGGCTTAGCCTTTATGCTATGTGGATATAATTGAGTTGGTCTACCTTTGTATGTTCACATATGTAGCCATTATTGATTCCTATTTTTTTTAAAGGTTGAGCTCTATTATAACGTAAACCAAATCAGTTTTTGAGCATTGTTTATTTAGGTAGTTTTTTGTTCTGGTTGTTGTACAACGTTTGATACTGCTTTCATTATTTTCTTTTTGGAGGTGCTGGCCGGCTTCGCAGGTTCTGACACTTGGGCACGTGCCTCTCGGCCACGTCTGGCGCGAAGCGGCGCTGGCAATGTGGGCAGGACACATAGTCGGGGTTCTCTGCGGGTGCTGGAGGTGGCAGATCACTCAGCTTGCCACCGTGCTGCGCTATTCTTGCCTCTCGGAGCGTCCTCTGTAAAGCTTCAGACTTGGCTTTCCAGTTGGGTTTTTTGGCCTGAACAGAAACAAAAATGTGCACACGTACAGGTGCCATCCTTTACGAAGCACTGTAATTAGACAAGTAATTTTAATTATGTGGTTGTTGAATTTTTATTTAAAGCTTTTGTGACTGCAGGGATTCATATTCTTGGTTCTTTCGGTAAAGTCACGTAGAAGGGAAACAATAAAATAATAAAAATATAAAACAATAAAATTATCACGACGTTTCGACTGCAACACAAGCAGTCATCAGGTGTGAAAACCACAGCAAGAAATTTTGAAAAAAGCGGCGTTTTTTTTACGTTAGCATCACAGAGAGCGATGTGGCAGTTATTTAGATGGACGAGTCCATCTATTTTGATTTAAAGCTTTCGTGACTGCAGTAATTCATATTCTTAGTTTTTTCGGTAAAGTCACGTTGAAGAGAAACAACAAAACAACAAAATATATATAAAACAATATGGTCGAAACGTCGTGATAATTTTTTATTGTTTTATATATATTTTGTTGTTTTGTTGTTTCTCTTCAACGTGACTTTACCGAAAAAACTAAGAATATGAGTCCATCTATGTTCGGAAAAGATGGGGGAGACGAAAATAATGGATGCGGTCTAAAAGCCACCGTAAGCGTGAACAATCAATTAAGACCCGAAATGGTTTATCAAATCCTTCCAATGATTGCTAAGCCAGAATCCATCTTCTCGGTTGAAATTGTCGTGTTTGTATATGTGGATAGCCTCATGAACGAATCTCTCTTGGTAGCCAGATGGCTTGCAGAGAACCTCTGTCTTGGAGAAGTCAATGTCATGTGAGCCTACTGAATTATAACAGTGATCCGCCACGGCCGAGGTGTTGGTCCTACCGTGTTTTAGGTCTGCTTTGTGTTCACGGATGCGGTCCGAGACATGTCGTTTGGTTTCTCCAATGTAACTACTACCACAGAGGCAACTTAGTTTGTAGACGCCAGGGTACTGTATGTCCGGAATCACATCTTTTACAGATGGAACCAGATCACGGATTTTATGTAATGTGTTGAATCGGACCTGGATCTTGTGTTTATTCAAGATTTTGGAGATCTTTTTTGTGATCCCCGCAATGTAGGGTAAAGTGATGGTTTTGAATGGCTCCTCAAGAGGGTCCTTCTTCATGGTTGGAGTGATAGCTTTGCGGATTGTGTAGTCGGAATAACCATTAGCCTTAAGAGCTTGGTGTACGTGCTTTTCGCTGGCTATGTGTTCCTGGTCGGATATGCATTGGGCTCTATGGTGCAGAGTCTTGATGAGGGAATTCTTCTGGGATGGATGGTGGTGGGAATCCGGTTTCAGGTAAGCATCCGTATGGGTAGCTTTCCTGTAGACAGAGTGGCTCATTGAATCATCAGGTCTCTTTATTAGGACATCCAAAAAAGGTAGCTTGTCACATCGCTGCAGGCGTAGCAAGATCTGAAATCGCTGCAACCCTCAAACGCTAAGATGCCAGCTAGCAACCTCAGCAAAGATGAGCGTTTTGGATTATATCAATTAAAAAAGCGGGATGACATTGTCATCCTCTCAGCCGACAAGGGCAATGCCACTATCATCATGGATAAAATAGAATATAACAAAATTCAAAAATTACTTAACGATGGCAGCTATACAAAAATAAAAAGAGATCACACCAACAACCTCGTCATACAAACCAACAAAATCATTTCTGTTCAACCGCATTAATTGATCAAACCAAACATTTCTCGTTGAAACCTTCTGCTGCCAGGCCACCAAGATTATACGGCTTACCAAAAATACATAAAGTAGATACACCCCTTTGTCCCATCGTTTCTACTATCAACTCCCCCACCTACAAACTGGCTCGTTTTCTGTCTGAAATCCTGCTGTCTTTCACTGGAAAAACCACCTCTGCGGTACAAATTCTACTCACATGGTATCGACAATCAAGGGTATTTCCCTGTCCCCAGACGACCTGCTTGTCAGTTTTGATGTAGTTTCCTTATTCCCCAAAGTTCCTGTACCTGACACCATCACAATCATTGAAGACTTGGTTCATCAAGGACTAAACACTGAGGTACCCCCCCTGGTGAGACACTGCTTAACCAATACATACTTCACTTGGAATGGAACTTTCTACAAACAAACTGAGGGCACCCCAATGGGCTCCCCGATCTCCGGTTGTAGCCAACATTTTCATGGAGAAATTTGAGACTGACGCCATCCAGACTGCCACTCTGCGCCCAACCTTATGGAAGAGGTACGTGGATGACACTTTTGTCATCTGGCCACATGGCCGGCCTGCTCTAGACCAATTCCTCGACCACATGAATTCCATACACCCAGCCATCAGATTTACCATGGAAGTCGAAAAATGGCAAGCTACCTATTTTGGATGTCCTAATAAAAAAGAGACCTTATGGCTCAATGAGCCACTCTGTCTACAGGAAAGCTACCCATACGGATGTATACCTGAAACCGGATTCCCACCACCATCCATCCCAGAAGATTCCCTCATCAAGACTCTGCACCATAGAGCCCAATGCATATCCGACCAGGAACACATAGCCAGTGAACTCAAGCACGTACACCAAGCTCTTAAGGCTAATGGTTACTTCGACTACAAAATCCGCAAAGCTATCACTCCAACCATGAAGAAGGACCCTCTTGAGGAGCCATTCAAAACCATCACTTTACCCTACATTGCAGGGATCTCAAAAAAGATCTCCAAAATCTTGAATAAACTCAAGATCCAGGTCCGATTCAACACATTACATAAAATCCGTGATCTGGTTCCATCTGCAAAATGTGATTCCGGACATACAGTACCCTGGCGTCTACAAACTAAGTTGCCTCTGTGGTAGTAGTTACATTGGAGAAACCAAACAACATGTCTCGGAACGGATCCCTGAACACAAAGCAGACCTAAAACACGGTAGGACCAACACCTCGTCCGTGGCAGATCACTGTTATAATTCAGTAGGCTGACATGACATTGACTTCTCCAAGACAGAGGTTCTTTGCAAGCCATCTGGCTACCATGAGAGATTCGTTCATGAGGCTATCCACATATACAAACACAGAGACAATTTCAACAGAGAAGATGGATTCTGGCTTAGCAATCATTGGAAGGATTTGATCAACCATTTCGGGTCTTAATTGATTGTTCACGCTTACGGTGGCTTTCAGACCTCATCCATTATTTTCGTCTCCCCCCTCCTCTTTTCCGAACATAGATGGCCTCGTCCATCTGAATAACTGCCAAATCGCTCTCCGTGGTGCTAACGTTAAAAAAACTGCCACTTTTTTCAAAATTTCTTGCTGTGGTTTTCACACCTGATGATGATTGCTTGTGTTGCAGTCGAAACGTCGTGAGAATTTTATTGTTTTATATTTTTATTATTTTATTGTTTCCCTTCTACGTGACTTTACCGAAATAACCAAGAATGTGGTTGTTGGTCAAGGGTTGTGCGAAAGATAAGGTGTCAAAAACATCTGAAAAGTTAGATATTTTCCAAGGGCACATAGCACTCATTCGAAAACAATCGCTGTCGAGTTGTTAGCAAACTGAAATCTCGAAACAATGTGTGTCGCCAACACCATGACGACATGGGGAGGTGTCGGGAGATGAAACCCATATGATATAATCTTCTAACTACTACGTGAGTCGTTTAATCAACCTAGCTCAAACTGCTTCGTAATAATGATTAAATAATGGAAGACACCTTCATGGTCACCCTATTTTTTTAGATAAAAAAATTATACAATTAAGTTTACATACGAATGGGCAGCATTAATTTGTTTAAATATCACAACCAATATATTAAGTTGCATTTTATCTTCATCTTTGTGTTGCTGAGCATAATTGATCAGGACATAAAATGAACCTGGAGTAGTTACAAAAAGTTGAAAGCTTAAGCAGTGAAATGGGCAGTGCATTAAGTAGTGGGTGTGGACGTTTGAGAGTGGAAACTATTTTTTGGAGAGGACTTAATGTTTTATTTTGAAGAGGGTACAAATGACACAGCACTTCTATAGCAAATATTAAAACATTTTTTACGTATTATTTGGTATAGTTTGCACATTATTACTGAAACAATTGCATTCTTTTTTTACACCCACTAATTTTTAAAGAGCAATTGAATAACAGTACCAGTCAATTAAAACGTGTGTTGAAACTCTCAGTTGATATTGTAGACTATAATTTAATGGCTGACCAATAAAAACTGTTTGGATGTTAATATTAATTTGTTGCCCTTTTGCAATCCACTGCTGGATTAGAGCCTTCCCATGCTTTGCTGGTCATAGGGATCGTTTGACCATATTTTACCGAGCTGGATATTGTAGGTTCCTGAAGCGGGCACCCAGGACCAGTTCAGATGTCTCTGAGCACCAATGTTAGCCGTACCTAGGAATCGACCTCGGGCTGCCGGATATTTTGACCCTCTGCACTAAACGCTGAATCACTGCTCCACCCAATGATTTAATTGTGCTGAATTAATAACTCGTAAAGATATTTTTCACATACCTGTTCGGGGGTTTTACTTTTATTTTTGCAGAATTTTTCCATGTCGGTTCCTTGAACTCGAATCTTTGAAAAGTCAATCACTTTTCTCTTTTTCTGAGTGGTCTTGGTGCAGATATTTGCGTGCTTTTCAAGCCTTTCCTTCGCAAATGTCCGTCCGCAAGTGTGGCACTTGGCGAGATCGAGGATTTCTGGGTCGGCCAGGTAGTCTGTCTCATCTGTGAAATTCTGTTGATATTCATAGTCCTGTGTTTCATCAATAATAGAAATGACATCATCTTCAACATTACCGCTTTTGTGGTTGGTCATGTTTTTTGACTTATTAGAAGTTACTACTGAATGTGGTGTATTAGATTCCTCCTCATGATGGGCTTCTTTGGAAGTTTTATTTTCAAATTGTTCCTCTTCCATCCCTGGTTGATTTTTATTGTCATGTTGATTCCCGTGTAGTGATGGTAGTTTTTTTGAATCGCCAGTCCTTGTTATGGCAGGGATGACCTTGTGCCTGTCCATGAAATGCGGTTCTGTAATGCCCTGGATTGCAGGCTCTAAATGCCTTTCTTCTTCTTCTGCCATTTGTCTTTCTCTCTGAATGATCTGCAACTCTTCCTGAAATTTATTGAGTTTTGCTAAGATCTCGCGTTCCTTTCTTTGAATTTCTTCTTCAATGCTTTCTTCATCATCTTTCGGTTTCTGAACCATCCAGTGAGGAGTAGTTAGATTGGTCCTTTCTAAAGGAGCATGTGCTTGGTGAGATTCAATTACCTGCTGTTGGTCAGACTGTGGCAGTAGAGGTAGGTTGTCAAAGGTATTTGTGGCGCCTGAATTCACATCTACGCTGGGTGTCGTCTCTATGTATTTTGCTTTACCAACATTTGAAATGTGAGCAACATCGTTTTGACATTGGCTTTGAGTTGTCCAGTTGGATGGTTGCTTAGACTTGTCCACATCAACCGGTGGCAATTTTAACGGTCCATTTGGATATCGGTCGGTCACCTTTAATGTATCCCCAGCCTTGTAGTGGGGGAATGCCGGTTGTGGTGTTTGAAATATATTGTGTAAGCTCGAGCTTTTCTTTTTTATTTGCGGCAGAGGCTTGGCTCTGTCAATGCCAGCACTTCGTTTCTGCATGCCAAACTGTGTCTGTCGCAGATGAGAAGGTGGAGGCTGTGGAGGAGGCTGTGGTAAAAACTGCAGTGGTGGTCGTGTGTTTGATGGCATTCTGGGAAACGTGTGAGGATATTTCCACCCAGAAGGTATGCGTTGCATTTTTACGTATCTTTGATTGTCGCTGAAGAACGCAGTCTGGTACTGTGCCCCTTGCATGGCTGTAAGAGTGGCCTCCTTTTCCCTTAGCAGTCTCTCCTGGAACTCTTTTTGAAGCTTGAGCAACCGAGAAGGCTCTTTGGCCATGGGATACCCAAGCTGACCCGCCGGCTTCATGATCTTCACTCAGTTCTGTAAATCAGAATAATAATCTTTATTTAGGCTGGAGGAATCCAATGAGCTATGAAGCTCTTTTTCACAGATGTCCAGTTTCAACAACGTGCAGAATTTATAAGGATAAAAGCAATTCTTAATACCGTATTCTTAGGATTCAAAAATGCACCCAAGTAATGGGTCATTTGGAAGAAAATACATTAGTTGCTGCTGCGGTTATCGAGTGTAGTTTAAATAAATTAAGGATGCAACTTTACATTATAATTGCTTAGCATATTGTCCGTAGGAAAATACATTTAACGTATTGGCCTGACCGAGGTTTAAGTGCATACATGCGTTATTAAAGTTTGAACTTCATAAAAAAAAAGTTTGACAAATATTTACTTTGCATTATTTGCATTCCAGCATGGCTTAGTAGCAGTGCTGTCTTGGAAGTCAAATAATAAATAAGCAATGCACGCCAAATGGCACTATGTTGTAAAACTTCACTTAAATGGCCATTGGACATGATCTCCGTGTGCGCTTTCAACTTGCCACCAGCAATAGTTATCACCTAACATGTATGGCCTCTTTTGATGGAATGTGGTAAACATATTGGCTGCCAAGGGAGGCTTACTAGTGCAATGACTCCAAGAGCATGCATTACAACTCTGCGGGGGGATTTACTGAATTATTAACAGAGTCTGCAGCGTTTTGGCATGAGCGAATGTACACAATACTTTGTGGCACCGAAATGTCCCAAGTTAACTGTGCAGTTTTGAAGTTCTTATTTTTTTTATTCTGCAAATAATAGATTGTCTTCCACACAAACCACCACTACATGAGCTTGCTTCACATTTCCGTGATGTTTTCACGTTTCAAAAATGTTGGCAGTTATTAATGATTTGCAGGCCTTTGTCAATCCACTGCTGGATGAAGATCTCTGCTCGTCATTTTTTTTAGCACGCTGGTGCTCATCACTGTTTCGGAATTGCATCCAGATTGCCGAGTTCATGGCAAGAGTGGTGCTTAAAAAAAACAACGGCGAATTGGAGATATTTTATTATTATTTTAGTTGTATCAATGTAAAACAATCAATTGTGTTCGACTTCTGGCAGTGCACTCTACATCGTCACAACAGTAGTTAACGTTCACGTGAATTAAATGTGTAATTACATTTAGATTTTTTCCGTTTGGACGGGAAGGGAATGGAAAATTAAACGAGTGTCCCTCCAAAGGATTGTGTACCTGCAGTCATGTTCCTACTGCGCCAATTACACTGTGTATGTTTGAAAGTCTTGACAATACATGCGGTGTGTATTAATAAGCCCATACAGTAAATGGTGTAATGTGAAATGTACACTATATAACTTTTATTTCCGAAACATAAGATTCAGATTCCCCCCCCCCCCCCCGCAAGTTTATGGCATTGACCGACTTCGAGCAAATAACAATCACACCGCTTTAAAACTACACGTTAACAGTTACTAAACTACGTGTAAGAGTACGCTCCCGCTCTTTATACTGTCCCACTGTTCATATCGTTACCGCTATCGTACGTTCGGACCACCCACCACCACCGCCGTGTTCGTGCGACATTCTTTACGAAATCACACAATAGATGTTTGTTTTTAATAAAATCGCGTAAATGTTAACATGTCGTCAAGCCAGCCACCGCGAGACAGCCGATTAGTAAGGTTTGTCACGTAAACCTGTATTCTGCATGATACTGGACGCGAAAGCCTACGTGCTAAACCGACAATCACACCAATCGGAACAACAATTGTTACTCACTTAGAAAGACGCCGACGAAGTGATATGACGTGGAGACGGTGGGTGCGCGCGGACTTTAATAACGACGACGGTGAAAATGAGCAGCAGCGGCAGCAGCGACGGACAACAGCAAAACGCCTTCTATAAAAGTTGCGTCAAAACTTAAAAACTGGCCAGGCGCGCGCGCAACATCTGCCGATGTTGGGTGCGAGGCTGCCGCCGCCGCTGCACAGCCTAGCAACGCCTTCGCACCGCCTAGCAACGCCCTCGCACCGCCCCCGGCTCTCACGCCCCCGCCCAGGTCGCGCTGTGTCGCTACGCGCCGACGAAATAGTTCCGCGCGGCAGTCGTTGCGAAAACAAAATTGACGATCTAGATTTGAAGTTTTCGCGACTGCAGGTATCCCATACTCTTTGTTTTTTTTTCCCCCCGGTAAAGTCACGTAGGTAATGTTTATTTTATTTATTTTATACCTACGTGACTTTACCGAAAGAACCAGACAGTATAAAAAATAAATTTTGATTTAGTATAAAAATTGACGATTTCAAACGGCGGAACAATTGCTGTTGCTGTTGTTGTTGTGCGGGAACGTACGTTGTTGGTTCACTGTTTTTTTAATTCGCGTTTACCGGGGGTCAAAAAGGGATGCGCGACGAGACGCTTTAAAACACGCAGACTTTGCGTTTGTAGAATATTAACATTGTACGCGTCCTTAACGATGTCCGTTCACCGCTGGGTGTTAAGAGGCCTGTCGCACATCCGCGTCGGTCATGGGCCCCTGTTGACGGGTTTGGTGAAGGGTGGCCCAGATCACCAGTTCGCATTTCACTCATCGGCACAGCGTTCTCTTCTGTAGCCGGGACTCAAACTCACGTTTGTCAGGTTCAGAGGGCAGCCCGCCTAACAACTGCGCAATCTATTGACCCGTATTTCTATTTAGCACTCTTGAGATGTATAGTGACTCACATCTTCATAATATTGGACGTGTCGGGTGGTGGAGGGTTACGACACATTTATAAGTAACGCGATCTAACCCAGAAACGTTTACCATGAATAATATTGGTCGCGAAAGCCTACGTGTTAAACTAACTCACGTGTGCGAACTTGTATTCAGTAAGAAAATATGGCGTTTTCAGATAAATTAACATGAGGTTTGTATAACCTTATTTTGTTTTGTAAATGTTGCCTGGTAGTGGCTGTATATGGGATTTGTATGCATGTGCGTTGACCTTTCGCACAGTACATAGCCAACCGTGCTAATCGGAGGTGGATTTGGTCCTTATCTGTATAAATTAAGACCTTAATCTGTCTCAAAAACCTCTAGGGTACTTCCAGGTATATAGCTGCAATGTGGTATATAGAGGTGGTAGTGTGGGAGCCGGCGTCCACCCCCTCCACTCCCCCCTCCACTCCACCTTCCACTCCTCCCTCCACTCGCCCCTCCACTCCACCCTCCACTCCCCCCTCCACTCCACCCTCCACTCCACCCTCCACTCCTCCCTCCACTCGCCCCTCCACTCCACCCTCCACTCCACCCTCCACTCTCCACTCCACCCTCGACTCCACCCTCCACTCTCCACTCCACCCTCCACCCCCCCTCCCGCCTCTCTCCACTCCACCCTCCACTCCACCCTCCACTCTCCACTCCACCCTCCACTCCACCCTCCACCCCCCCCCTCCACCCCCCCCTCCACTCCACCCTCCACTCCACCCTCCACTCCCCCCTCCACTCCACCCTCCACTCTCCACTCCACCCTCCACTCCCCCCTCCACTCCACCCTCCACCCCCCCTCCACTCCACCCTCCACTCCCCCCTCCACTCCACCCTCCACTCCACCCTCCACTCCCCCCTCCACTCCACCCTCCACTCCACCCTCTACTCGCCCCTCCACTCGCCCCTCCACTCCACCCTCCACTCCACCCTCCACTCCACTCCACCCTCCACTCCACCCTCCACTCCACCCGCCACTCCCCCCTCCACTCCACCCTCCACTCCACCCTCCACTCCCCCCTCCACTCCACCCTCCACTCCACCCTCCACTCCTCCCTCCACTCGCCCCTCCACTCCACCCTCCACTCCACCCTCCACTCTCCACTCCACCCTCGACTCCACCCTCCACTCTCCACTCCACCCTCCACCCCCCCTCCAGCCTCTCTCCACTCCACCCTCCACTCCACCCTCCACTCTCCACTCCACCCTCCACTCCACCCTCCACCCCCCCCCTCCACCCCCCCTCCACTCCACCCTCCACTCCACCCTCCACTCCCCCCTCCACTCCACCCTCCACTCCACCCTCCACTCCCCCCTCCACTCCACCCTCCACCCCCCCTCCACTCCACCCTCCACTCCCCCCTCCACTCCACCCTCCACTCCACCCTCCACTCCCCCCTCCACTCCACCCTCCACTCCACCCTCTACTCGCCCCTCCACTCGCCCCTCCACTCCACCCTCCACTCCACCCTCCACTCCACTCCACCCTCCACTCCACCCTCCACTCCACCCGCCACTCCCCCCTCCACTCCACCCTCCACTCCACCCTCCACTCCCCCCTCCACTCCACCCTCCACTCCTCCCTCCACTCCCCCCTCCACCCACCGCGTCGATCGGCCCCCGCCGGGCCCCCGCCGACCGGGTAATCGCCCCCCCCACCCCCCGCGTTAGCGCCCCCTCTGAGGGCCATAGCTAAATCGCTGGCTCACCGCCGCACGGGGTTATTCCACACACGCACGCGCGCACACCAACACTCACGCCAACGCGGCGCACAGCTGTACGACCGCACCCACCCCTGCGAGCGGTTTCTTCTTACATACACGCTACAGCTCACGGCTGCGCGAACACGCGCGCCTGCGGGCAGTTATATACAAATCCGCGTCCGCACAAAAACTAGCGCTGATAGAAGCTGCGCGAATGCGCGCGCACCTGCAGGCGATTATCTCATCGAGCGCTCATGCTGCGGCTCTGCCCTCACTCTCGCTGCGCGTCTGCCCACGCAGCCGCTCCGCACATGAATCACTCGCACCGCACCGAGGCTCTGTGCTAACGTTTATTCACGGCGCAAACCCTGCGGGCAGAGCCTGTCCTACTACTATCCGATTCCCCGAACACTCACACGCCCTATCACGTACCTCGCAGCTGTACTCACGGCGTCGCACGGACGCAGTGAGAGTCGGAGGGAGGAAGACGAAAAAACCTTGCCTATCACTGCCTCGTAGCAGCACTCGCTGGCATCACACGGATGCTGCGAACGGCTTGAGACAGGACGGCAAGAGGTTGGAGAGAACTGACTTGAACCGTTTCGGGCTCCCCTTTTTATGCCACTTGATTTTAAAAAAACATCTGGGGTTACGTTATCCTGCCTTTACATGGAGCGTTATGTTATTTTTAGGCCCATTGTCTCTGTTCCCGTACTCATTAATCTCTGACTCACCCTGTTAAATCTGGGACAGCGTCCGGCTGGCGAATACACACCTGGCTAGTGTGTACTTGGTCTCGCGCTGGGTTCCCCCTCCCTCATCGTTTGCTCTGCTCGCTTAATATTTCACCCCAGCCCTCTCCCCGATGCGTGACTCATTGCGGCTGGCCTGGTGAACCTTTGTGCTCTCATACAATTTTAAGCCAATTTAGGGGCGAAGCAATGTGATTTGTTCTGGGAGGGTCAGTCAATCTTCTGGCACCGCGAAACCGCTGGACTTCCCACCTAGGGGCCCTTCGGATGAAAACCCGTTGTGCCAGGCAATCCCCTGCCAGGACACTACGTGTGTGTGTGCTGTGTGCGTGTGCTCAGGGTGGGGGGTAGGGGGGAATCGCAGCGCTTGCAGAGTTGCTCAGTGGTCGTGACACCAAAGTAGCTTTTATGACACAACAGAAAATCTGAAAATCCGAGATTTTCATTTTAAGGCCCACAAATCTCGATTTTAAAGTGCCCCATAAACACGTTTGTGCGTGTCATTCACAAACCATTAAAAATATAACATCGCGAGGTTTTTTCGTTTGATAGAGCGTTAAACAGCAAATAACATTCAAGCGAAAACCATCTTTTATTGTTTTTGAGATATTTTGGATTCAAGTAGGTTTAAACCACAAAACATGCACATTTTATGATGTTCAAATCTGAATATTTCAAAAACGGTCAAACATAGGAGCTTCCCCTTAGAGTATTAAGTAAATAATTTGTTTGTTCATCTTCTTTGGTTCTTTCGGTAAATTCACGTAGAATGAGAATAAAATAATAAAATAAAACAATAAAATTCTCACGACGTTTCGGCCACAACACAAGTGGCCTTTACCGAAAGAACCAAAGAAGATTAATCCTTGCAGTCACGAAAGCTTTAAATCGAAATTTGTTCTTTCTAATAATAAAATGAGCGGTTTTCGATGGGTACGTCTTTATCACGCAGGAGATGAGCGATTAATCACCCCCCCCCTTGTGTAAGCCTGAACAAGTTCCCAAAAAAAGTGCGCGGCACTCGTCGCTCACCAGTATTTTACTCTCTCATGTTCACAGTGCACCCATGCTGCAGGAGCTGCCCCCAGAGGTGCAGGCGAGGCTGCGCTCGGGAGTGGCCCTCAGCACGGCCAGTCAGTGTGTGGAGGAGCTGCTGCTCAACAGCCTGGACGCGGGTGCCAGTTGCGTGGCGGCACGGCTCCACATGGACGACTTCCGCTTCCAGGTTCGTTTGTGGAAGCTGCCGAGCGTTTCCACTCTTAACGTACACTTTTGAAGGAATTGGGTAAGCGTTGGCGTGATCGCGAGGTGGTGTTTTTTTAGTTTCTTACATGTTATATTAGCATTAAAGAAACCAGAATATAGTGTGGATTTCAACAGGAGTGGTAATTGAGCATTTGTAACAAGCTTTACTGGCACTCCTGAAGTGGCTTTTTTTATTGAGTGTACTATGTCATTCAATTAACACTAATTCATTCATAAGTACTCTGTGTCCACCCTTCCTTAATGAGAGAAAATGTCATCAGACACGGACGTACTAGGACAAAATTACGTTTGCATCCACGCTTTGATGATGCACGTGTCTAACGATTTAAATATTCTATACTAAATCTATAGACAATTACATTCTAAATGACACCACGTGTTATTAGGATGATTTTGAATAACGTTGCCCAGTATCATTGTGGAACTGCTATACTTGGCATGGAACACTTTTTGCGGTCACAGGCGACTGGTCCAATCGTGGATCATTTATGCCCACCGCATTACGACGACGATGTTGACATGACATGCCTTTT